GAAGCTTGATGTATGCTATGATGTGTACACGACCAGACATCTGTTATGCAATCGAGTTGGTGAATAGTTACCAATCCAGGACAAGCTCAGAGGAAGCGATCAAGAGTATGGATTGGGTTAAACACTTAAATCGTGCTTTTGACTTTATGGGATATTTATACCATCAGTATTCATCTTTTAAAAATCTTATATGTTTATTTCTTATTGCCACTCGTAATGATGGTATTTGAACCTCAAGTGGTAACACTGCTTCTCCTCCAAAAACCAACGAATAAGGGGTTGCTTGAGTAGGAGTTCTGTGCGAAGTTCGATAAGCCCACAAAGCTTCTTGTAACTTTTTGTGCCAAGCTTTTTTGTTCTTATCCACCATCTTCTTAAGAATTTTGCACAATGTCTTGTTGAAAGCTTCTGCCAAACCATTGGCAGGTGCATGATATCTTGATGAATGGTTGTTTTTTATTTTGTACTTGGCAAATAACTTGTTCAAAGCATCATTCCTAAATGGCTGTCCATTATCCATGATGATACTTTTTGGAATCCCAAACCTGTAAATGATATGGGTTCGGATGAACTCGGAGACAACTGTGCTTTTTATATCCTTTAAAGCCACAGCCTCTGCCCATTTTGAAAAATAGTCAGTTGCAGCTAGGATGTATCGATATCCTGTTGAAGATGGAGGTACAAAAGGACCAATAATGTCCATACCCCATGCTGCAAATGGCCAAGAACAAGTTGTTAAATGTAAAGGCTCTGGGGGTTGGTGGAGAAAGTTCCCATGGAATTGGCAGACTTGGCATCTTCGAGCATAATTTATGCAATCTGCAATCATAGTCGGCCAATAGTATCCCAACCGTTTTAGCTGCATATGTAATTTAGGACCACTTTGGTGTGCCCCACATACACCTGCATGTATTTCTGCCATTACCTCTTGAATACGCTCCTTGGCTATACACCGCATGAACATTCCATCCAAAGACCTTTTGTATAATGTTCCATCTTTCCACAGGACGAATTTGGTAGCCCTGCGTCTCACTTCAATTCTTTTTACTTTATCTTCAGGTAGCCTACCATGTTGGAGGTAAGCTATGAATGGTTCCCACCAATCCTCCTCGTTTTCTCATTTCGTGGTGACAACCAAGATTGGAACCAAGTCAGAAGCCTCTTTTAAAGGTTGTAACACCCTTCTTTCACCTACCGTGATAGTAATTGTTTTGCTATCTGGTAGGGTGAGTGATGCAGCCAAACTTGTAAGTGAATCAGCTCGAGCATTTGTTCTTCTCTTCACATGGAAAATATGTGTTTTTCTGAATTGCGAAAGCAATTGATCAGCCCTTTCATGATACGGGATGAGACTTGTTTTCTTAACAATGTATTCTCCACGAAGTTGCTTTACCACCAGTTCCGAATCTCCATAAATTGAGAGTTCTTCAATAGGAATTTGTAATGCCAATTATAATCCAGCAATTACAGCTTCATATTCTGCCTCATTATTGGAGCATCCTTCACTTAAGGCGAAAGAATGGGTGATTATAGCATTGTCTGGAGTCACAAACACAATTCCAATTCCAGCTTTATTGTTTTTAGGATTTTCTCGCTTTTTGCCATCTGGACTCCTTGAAGCTCCATCAAAATACATCTCCCATCCTTTTTGAATTTCTACTTGCATAACCTCTTCATCTGGTAAATCAGTTACTAGAGGTGAGTCATCAGGTATAGGATGTGCTGCCAAAAAATCTGCTAGAGCCTGCCCCTTTACGGCTCTTTGGGGAACATATTCAATTGCGAATTGTTGGAGAATTACAGCCCACTTTGCAATTTTCCCTGAAAGTATGGGCTGTGAAAGTCTATATTTCAAGGGGTCTGCTCTTGATATCAACTTGACTTCGTTTTCCAAGACATAGTGCTTTAGTTTTTGCAAGGCGAACACCAAGGCAAGACATGTCTTTTCGATAGGGGAGTAATTGACCTCTGCCCCAACCAAAGTACGACTCAAGTAATACAAGGCATTTTCTTTCCCATGCTCATTATGTTGTGCCAACAATGCCCCTAACGAACCATCCAAGGCTGCTATGTACAACAAAAGTGGTTTTCCTTTTATTGGGCTCATAAGTACTGGAGGCTTCAAAAGATACTCCTTAATACTGTTAAAAGCATTTTGGCACTGTTGATTCCATTCAAATGGAACACCCTTTTTCATCAATCTTGAGAATGGCAAACATCGACCAGCCAAGTTAGAAATAAATCTTCTGATATAGGCCAATCTCCCTTGTAGCCCCTTCAATTCCCTTAAATTTCGTGGAGGAGGCATTTCGGCAATAACTTTAATCTTGGTAGGGTCAATTTCAATCCCTTTGTTTCGAACCACAAACCCAAGAAATTTTCCTGATGAAACTCCAAATGCACATTTTAGTGGGTTCATCTTGAGTTTGTACCTCCTCAAACGTTCGAAGATTTTTCTCAAATCTTCCACATGGTTTTCCTTTTCCTTTGTCTTGACGACAAGATCATCAACATAGCATTCGATGGTGTCATGGAGCATATCACCAAAAATTATAGTCATCGCCCTTTGATACGTGGCCCCAGCATTTTTCAGGCCAAAAGGCATTACCTTATAGCAAAAGACTCCTCTCGGAGTCCTGAATGCAGTCATTTCTTCATCTTTAGGTGCCATTCGGATTTGATTGTATCCTGAGTATCCATCCATAAAAGACAAGGTTTCATACCCAGTAGTTGCATCTACAAGAAGTTCAGTGATGGGCAAAGGAAAGTCATCTTTAGGACAAGCCTCATTGAGATCACGGAAATCAATGCAAACCCTGATTTGACCATTCTTTTTCTTGACTGGCACTATGTTTGCTAGCCAGGTTGGATATTTGACTTCTCTGATGAATCCTGCATTGATAAGCTTGTCGACTTCGGCTTCAATTTGGGTTGTAAGCTCTGGTCGAGTTCGCTTTTGAGGCTGTTTAACTGGCCGTTTCTCAGGGTGAATTGCAAGCTTATAGACTGCAATCTCTGGATTAAGACCAGGCATCTCACTGTAGTTCCATGCAAATATGTCACGATACTCCCTTAAAAAGGAAATATATTGCCGAGCTTCTTCTTCCTTTAAATTTGCACTAATGAAGGTTGGTTTGTTTTCTCCTTCATCACCCAGATTTATTTCACGAAGATCATCCAAGGTGGCTTGGCCTCCTGCTTCAAATTCTGTTGGTGCAGGTTGAGCTTCATCTTGGTCAACATCTTCCAACACATCTTGAGTGATAGTCATGTTTATTGGAAATTTTTCCTCATCCCCCTAATAGCCTAACCCTTCTGTCCTGGCGGTGATAATACCACCTTGTTGGATAGCCTGCCTCTGTGAAGGTGTTAATGCAAAGTCAAAGGGTGTCATTGTTCCTGGTATTTTTTCAGGATCTAAACCAACTTTTACCAACATCTGCGTGATTTCTGCACTGAAGGTAGGATTCTCAAAACTCGAGATGTTTTCTTCTGGCACTTGTTCAACTTTCACTTTCTGTTCAACATCTCCAAGTGAGTGGAATATGATGGGTTTTGACCTTTTTCCTTTAGAAGGGACCACAATCTTATTATATTTCTCCACATAGGTGCATTCTGTCCTCCTTAATGGCAACGTGAACTCACTCTTGAGATCCAAAATTGGATTTATTGGGGCTAGAGCCTTTGTCCCCAGTTTTCTTTCGGACTTTGGCACATATCGGAAAGTTCTTTTTGTTGAAACTGGAGTAGACTCTAGAGCGTCTTTGACATTCGGAATATCTTCAGACTTCTTCACATCTTTTCCCTTTCTTCGTGAAGTCTTTATATAGAAACGAGCATCAGCATATTAGGCCTCTACTTCTCCAAATGGATCATTGTCAGCCACAATTGTCCCCTCTTTTTTGGGTGAAGGCAACGGGTACTTAATACATTGGTGATAAGTTGATGGCACTGCATGATGATTATGCATCCATGGTCTCCCAAGCAAAGCATTGTAAGAGGTGTCTACATCAATGGCCAAGAACTCAGTGCTTTCTTCAATATCCCCAAACTTGGTTTGCAATTCAATTTTCCCCATTGGGCGTTGCTCATTCTGATTAAATCCTTGAATGACCAAACGACTTGGGCGAAGTTGTGAAATTCGAACCCCTAATAAATTTAAGGCCCTCCGAGGCAGAAGGTTCACCGCAGATCCTCCATCAACGAGAATTCGAGAAATTTTCACATCATGGATAAGCCCAGTGATAAACAAAGGCCGATTATGGTCTGTCATTTCAGCACACATGTCTTTGTCACCAAAGGTTACCATAGCCATGCATGTAGTTGTCTTCTCTTGATTTCTACCCTCGATTTCTTTGTGGAAATCCTCTGGCTTGGACAGGGCATTTATTAAAGACTTTCGAAGCTCTAGAGACATTTTCAGTGCGTCATATACGCTCAACAATGCTGGAATTTTCTTTAGATGAGCTAGTACATCATATTTCACTTGCTCTTCCTCCAGCAAAACTTGTGGAACTTCCGACGTTTGAGGGTCCTGGGGATTTCGTAATTTCCTCCGATAGGTAAAGAAGTTTGGCATACTTCAGCAACCGCCTTTTCGTTGACCTCAACTTCTTTTATTCCCTCACTTATTTGGACCATGTTAACTGGTCCAGCTGCAGGGCGATCTTCATCATCAGTCACTTCTCCATCTTCCTAGAGCTGCATTCTTCTCCCATTTCTTAGGTACCGGGAGTCACGCCTATAAAAGCATTGAGATTCTTCAAAACCATTCTTCATGGCCTCCCAACTAGGCACCACGACTCCATCGAGGGAGCAATACCAGTCAAAGGCGATCCCTTCTAAGGAAAGGGGGAATTGTTTTAGGCAAAGTGCTTGATTTTGAGCTGTTTCCCCCACACTGTTTCAAAAAACGCCTAATATGTTTTTGAGGATCTCCATACCCCTCATATAGGACAAAATTTGGAAGTTCGTATCCTTCAGGAAATGGTGTTTGCTCTACCCATAAAGGGAACAAATCCCTTGGGCGATAAGTGCCCATCTCTCGAAGGTCAAGGGTAGTTTCAATCCTCTCCTCAATTGTGCCTTCTATGGAATCATATGTTTGAGAAGATGTACCTTCGTCATCCAAATGTTCTGACATCTCAATTTCTATTGGCCATGGTTTATAAAATGTCCTATAGAATCGATCAGTCATGGTGTCCCAATCTGGGATTGAATTAGGTGGCAGGCTGAAGTACCAATCCGCTGCCCATCCTTCCAAAGAAAGAACGAACTGCCGTAGAAGTAACGCCTAGCTTTTTACTGTGTTTCCACATTGTGCAAGGAAACGAACCAAATGGCGCCTTGGACAACCTGTCCCATTATATAAGGGAAAACGAGGTACTGTATATCCTCATGGAAACTGAACCCATTCGACCCAATTAGGGAAAGGGTGTCCAGAAATTTGATTTCTTTCAATACTCAAATTTTGATGGGCTTCAAAACCCTCATCTTTCAAAGAGACTGTTACTTTTGACTGATGTTCCGTTTCCCTTCTAGCTTCAATTTTTGTTTTCTCATCATCACCTGGATTGCGAATGATATGTATTTCTCGCTCTTCAAAATTTACGTCCACAGTGATGACATTACAAGGAAAGTCAAAGTGGTCACTTGATACGCTTTCTCCATCGTATGTCCTAGCTAGGGATGTGTATAGTGAATCATCAGGGGAAAAGTCAAGTTCCCAATCTTCATTAGGATCCTCAACTTGAGATGACTTTGCTTGTTTACTTGAATGCTTCCATACTTCATCATCCGACTTACACCTGCCATTCACCTCATCATCCTTGAAGTGTAGTCGTTTTTTCGCCTTTTTTACAAGCTCAGAGTCGGACCTACACCCAATGTCTCTTTGTTCTGTTCCCCTTACATATTCTGGAGTGCTTTGATAGTACATTGGTGGTACTGGCGAATACTGTGGAGAAAAGGCTTCTGATGTATACTCTGGAGAAGCTGGTGTATAT